CTCCTCCTCCTCCTGGACCAGAAGCTGTCTTTCAGCATTACCAGCTTCCCTACTTCAGACCTTCGAGAGAACATTCTAGCACATCTGCTACCCTTCCTGGCCTTCTATGATGTCTGCATTGATCACCTCCAACTCCCGGTTCTCTATGACTCTGTTTCTTTCCTCACTCAGGTATAAACAGTCCCAGAACCACAACCATCAGGGCCCACTCCAGATGGACATGATCTAAGTGTGACCGGCCTCTCCCTGTTCTTCAACAGTTCTACCACTCTCCACCCAATTTCCCAAAGCAGTCATTTTCAACCTTTTCCATTCCTTTTGAGTCTTTAATTCACTGAGACTTAAGAAATTTCCGATTTACTGAGAAGACTGAGGGCAGGTGCCTGTATGAAGTGTCTCCTACTTCTGAAACTTTGTGTTGTTGCTTCCTCCTGAATGCCCCTCTGTCTCAAATGAAGTATCTTCCCACCCTTTCACAGGCCTGAGGCAGAGTCATGGCTACCTCACATTTTCACAATCTCCTTTGCCGTACAACTTGTCATTTGCTGAACAAACCAACTGCATGTCTAAGCTTCCTCTCCCTTCATGCCAGACTACTAGAAAGGCACATCTACACTCACAACCCACACATATATCCATGCATTTCCTTTCCCCACAACCTCTACCCTTCTTCTGAAATGCTCTCGGGTCCTCCCAGTCACCAAATCCCATGGCTTTTCTAGCGCTGCATCCTTGACTCTTCTGTGACACGGCAGACTCAACTCAATCAAAACTGAACGTAATGCTCCTCTCCTCCATTCCCACCACTGATGACTGTGCTCCCAATTCTCCCAGTTAAGCCAAAGCCTCCTGGTCATCACTGACCCAATTTAGTTATCAAGTCCTCTTCCTTCCACTGTCACATCTGTCCCTCAGCCTCCCCTTCCATTCCCATGACAGAAGACATCCTGACCTCAACCCAAGTCAACACACTGCACCAGCCTCTGAGCCTCTTATTGTGAAAATATTCCTAGAGCCTTGATAGTCTAACAAGGGAATTTTAAATCCTTCAGCCTGGGAATGAAGGCCTGCTAAGAGCTGCTCTAGCCTATAGCTCTAGGCTTCGTGACCTTCCCTTCCTCTATTTCATGTCATGTATTTCCCATTTCCTCTGAACTGTGGGAGAATTCACAGTTCCCAGAATTTGCCCTGCACTTCCGCACCTGCATGCCTGAAGCAGGCCAGTCCATCCATTTGTAATGTTCATCATGACTACTTATTGAAATCCTACTATTGTTTTCAAGATTTGGTAAAGATGCCATCTTTTTCTTCTCCCATAAGCTGCGAATTATTCATTTCTTTGCTCAATTTCCATGGCTCCAGTAAGCCCATCTCTTTCTTACTCATTTACTCTTAGCTCATGTTCTTTCATATGAGAGTTACCTGTGGACATGCCTTCTTGTCCCTGTTACGAGTTTTTTTCTTAGACACATTGATGAAGATAACAACAACTATGATCATCATGACCGCCCTAACCAGCTCCTATTGTATCCTAGCACTGTGGAGAGCACATCACCTGATCACACAGCGACATTACAAGGACCGCCTCCACTTTAAGATGTGATTAAGTAACATGCCCAAGGCCCGTAGCAAGGAAGCAGCAGAGCCAGAAATTAAATTTAGGGTTCTCCAATTTCAGAAGCCACGTTCTTAACTCTCTGCGGTATTGCTCACGATCTATAGACGAAACAGATGAACCCTGAATAAAACACACTCTTCCAAAGTCCTCAAGGGGGAGAGAGTTTACTGAGCCAGAGTCCCCAGAGTTACTTAGCCTGCTTGGTCAATACATGCCCCTACAGTGAGAATATAGGTATCTCAGGCTTGAACCCTGAAAGGATGATTTCACAAGTATGACCAAGTTTTTGTGCCTCACAACCAAACAGAAGTGAAACTGAAAGTGAGGGGGAAAATCTAATTCACCAGGATTAGGTAACAGACTGACTGTCTCTTTGCCTGGGACCATCAACATGGGAAAGGCCATGAATCAAGGTCCCTCCAAAAGCCTCACTCACATAACCCAAACCACCTCCAGTAATTCTAGTTTTTGAGACTCTGACATCAGCCCTGTGAAAACATGATAATTGTACTCTGCTGACAAAGTCTGAATCAAAGTAAATGTGAGGTCTTATTTTACATGTAAACAGGCAAAATAATAATGGCATGCATACATATCAACACGAAGAAAGTGGGGGCTGTCGCTCTCTCTAGGTAAGCGGCTAAGGGCTGCAATCCTCCGAGAGCAATGTCATTATACAGCTCAAATCCTATCACGACAAATACCTTGACAACAGAGATGTCTGTATAACAAAAGCTCTTTCAAGCTTTGGCTGACAGCCCACATACTTTAAGCAATATTTGATGTGAGACTTGGAGTTCACAGTAATGGGAATTGACCTGTATTTCCAAAGGTAAGATTTGAATGATTTCATCTCTAACTCCTACCCCATGATATCATGAGGTGGGACTGATGTACAATCTAAACCCCTGAGTATAAAAACTAAACACAAAGACACAAATGAAATCAACTCATTCTTAAAGACTGAAATTTCTTCCTTTCACTTGGGGAACACTTAAGTAAAGGAGACTGCCCCTGACCCAGCCCTGCAACACAGCACAACACAGCTGCTCCGCAGTGTCACCTCATGGAGACACAAAATGGTGTAGTCCATGAAGACAGAAGGACCGTGTCCAAATCTCCACTCTGTCACTTCACAGCTGGGCAAATGGGGCTGTGTTTCTTAACTTCTTACGAGCCTCAGTTTCCTCATCTGTAAAATGTGACTACCACCACCTACCTTCTGGATTTTGGTAATGACAAAATGAGAACACATGTAAAGCTCCTGACAAAGGGTCTGAGATACACGGCATGTACTCAAAAAAACTTCCCTCATCGGGTCTCCCTTCTCCTTCTGCAGACCATGGGCTTCTGTAAACTATTTTCGCCAAATTAGTAATCAGATACAGTGAATAGAAGTCAACAAAATGTATAGTCTCAGATATAGGCAGGTAGAAACTGCTGCTCATAGGAACATCTGGGCAAGAGAGAGACAATGGGAGAATAACTAGGCCACGCACAGGTATGTACCTGACTGGGAAAAAGGCCTTTTTGGCCAAGGTAAGATACATGTATTCCACGGCCGAAAGTCCCGGAAGCAGGCACCGTAACAGTAAGTGAGCTTTGACACTCTGTCAAATGTAATTTTAAAAAATGCTGATAAACCAACATTTGGAGTCACATTTTCCTGGTCAAGGATAAATTGTGGTTATTTCTCTAAAGCATAGTTTACTGCCTCTGGTCTAGTTTTCCCTGGGTGACATTCTGGCTGGTGAGAGAGCCCTTATTTGGTTATTTTTAAATTTATTAATTTTTCTTAGCTCTAGTCTATTGTCTTTCCTCAATAGCATACCATGGAAGCATTAAAACAAACTCTAGTCATCTCCATTTGGCAAACATGTAGGTAACCAGTATGAGAATATGTCCAATAAAGGTATTTAATATTGCTCTCATTTGTGAAGTTTAAAAATCTGCAGATTTTCAGTTATCTGATTTTTCTATGTTTCAAATAATGGGACAATCAAGTCTGTGGTGACAACATTCTATGTGCTTTTTGTAACAACCTTGCTACTATGTTTGGAAAACTAGAGTGTTACAAACACACTCTGAAGACATGCATGTCCACCTTCCTAAAAGGAGTACTGGCCAGGGGCTCCTCAGTTCCTTAAGAGGCTTCCAAAGTCCTGCCAGACCCTGGCAACGACAGGGAACAAGAGGAGCAGCCCAGCATTTCTCGGAGTCACAGAATGTCAGTCTTAAAGATTTCCTAGTTCTATCCTTTCACCCTGCCAGTAAGCAAAAGGCTTAGAGAAAAAAGTATGTGCCAATGTTCATGTACCCAACCAAAGTGTATATATAAGCCAAGTGATGCTTTCAGAGGTCTTAGGAGAAGCAATATAGAAATAAAATAACATGCCAGACAGAACACCAAGGCACAGAGCAAAAGAAACTGTGAGGCCCACAGAACAACAGAGGACTCCTCAGCAGAGAGACTGAGAGATCAAGAACAGAGAAAGAAAAAAATTTACTAAAGCAAGAAGGTTAAAACAGCAACAGAGACCAAGTGGCAGCAGTAGAGTAGATATATTAAATTCGGTCTGCGGAGAGCTTACAAAGTAAGACTCCAGGGCACAGGAGCACCACCCCTCACAATGGTTTCTGGGTCTCTATTTCATTAACGGCACCCACTGCCCCCCATCACCGTCATCTTAAAATGGAGGCAGTTCACAACCACCAGATCCTACACCTTCATCTCAACACTGATAAGGGTGTAACCCTAAGCATTTGTGGTGTCCTAACTATGTCAGGCCGCTAGGGTGCTGCTCCCAGCTCCAAAAGGCAGATTTACCTCATGGTCCCCACCTGACCCCCAGGAACGGGTGTCCCTCCTTCAAGGGAGCCTTTTCTCCCTCGCACCAGTGGCATCATTAACTGTGTATAAGGTACTTCGAGGTCCCCACAGGCTATGGAAAAGTGAAATGCAATTGTAATGACATGGGCAATCCTGGGCACGTAAGGGTGGGAAGAGTTAGGTCCTGAAATACAAGGCTGAGAAACGCGATTCCTCGGAGAAGCAGCCACCCCGCCCAAGCAGAGGCTGCGCTGCCTAGAAAGTGACCTCCCGGGAGCGATCACGCGCCTGGACCGAGCCTCTGCGCTCCCGCCCTGCCTCGGTCCCTCCCTCCCGCCTCCAACCTGTCCCAGCGGGCCAGCGGGCGAGCGGGCGGGCGGGGGTGCGGGGAGGAGCCGGGAGCAGCCCCTGGAGCACAGAGGCCGCCAGCACCGGCTGCTTCCAGCCCTCCTGCCTGCCCGCCCGCCCTCCAGCAGGCTGGGCGCTCGGGCTGCCCCAGCGCCCCGCGACGCCCACCTGGACGCCTGGCGACCCCCGCCCCGCGCTCTGTACCTTTACTCTGCGGAGGGTTCTGACTCCGATCCCGGAGGACGTTGATCTGGTAGACGGCTCCGTAAGGCTCAAAAAGTTCTTTCAGCTCCTTTTCCGACCACGACCGGGGGATCTGTCCGACAAACATCTTAATGGCATCTGGGTCTGGTTGGTCTGAGTGATCCAAAGCTCCGTTCATCTTGTTGGCTGTGCCGTTACTGTCAAAAACGGAACCGGGAGCTAGAGTTAGGGCGGCACGATGAGGGACAGGAAGAAAAAAATAGTGGGGGTTGGGGGGCGGGGGGGCGGGGAGGCGGAAGGAGGAGGAAGAAGAGCAGTGGCAAAGTGCCTAATGAGTCGTAGAAATTTGATGAACTAAAACAAAGCAGAGGCACCATGAGTTGCTCCTCCGCGGCGGCGAGGCTCTCACTGCGTGCTGCTGTCGAGCAGAGCCGGGGGAGCACAGGGCAGCGCCCCGCCGCCTGTCACCCAGGGCGTGGACATCTTGGAGGCTCGGGAGGCAGCTGCAAGTTAAGTGTAGGTCTAGCTCTGCAAGGCTGCCATCAACGCATCAGTGCATTATCAGCCCTACCCTGTCTGTGGCTGGGAAAGAAAGCAGAGCTAGATGTCTGCTGGATTTCTCACCCTCTCCCTGCCCCGCCCCCACCCCGCCGCCCTTTTTGGGAGGTTTTTGGAAGAGAGGAGAGAGGTGGTAATAATAAAGTCACATGGAAAGAAAATGAAACACTTGGCAGTCCGTCAGATGACTAATGCAAGATGCGGGTGATGAATTTGCAGAGTGCGCGAGGCATCCATGTGTGCATCAAATTAGTACGTTGTTGCTACTCAGAATGGAAAGCGGTCCAGCTATGCAGCTCCGCGCAGCTGATTGGCTGCCCACGCGGGAGAAAAAGGCCGGAGCTGGGAGGGGGCTCCCCTTTAAAAAGCACATTGTTTATGGGACCCAGGCACAAAGGGTTTAATTCAGAGAGGCAAAGGAGATCTCAGAATTGCCTGCTTTGTGCTGGCTTAAAAAAAAAAAAAAAAAAGCAGCCCCAGAAAGTTGAGTTCCCACTAAAAGACACTGAATATTTCAAATCTCTCACACTCCATAAATTGTTCTCTGTATATCTGACTTCCAGATGTTGCACTTGAGTTCTAAACAATCACACGTTTGGGAGAGAAAAAAAGAAAGTCTGCCTTTTCTTCTCCCAGCTTCAGTAAATATTTGGGGCTGACAGAGAGCACAACCATAAGCTTTTGCATATCAGTCCTCCTCAACGCTGTTTCCCAAATCCCCATTTGGAAGAGAATGCTGTATACAGCCTGCACGTCTAGTCACCATCGAGTAACACGATGATGAAGACATGTCTTTTTTTTACTTGCCCCCACCCCTTTTGAGCAGGAATAAATAGTAAAGGAAAACCACATACCCTTTTTGTGCTCCCCACCCCCGCCCCCGCCCCAAATATACCCCGAACCCAGCTACTCTGCCAAGTGACAAGGCTGAATGCCTCTCGGCAGCACTCATTTGCAGCACTGCGCGCTTGCTCCAGCTTCTCAGCCTGTGAAAATAGAAGGCGCCGAAACAAAGCAGGCAGACGCTGCCCCTACAGAGCCTCCTCCATGAGTACCCCCACCCCAAGAAGCAGAGAGGTCAGAAAGGGGACATGCTAACTAATACTAAACTGCAAGGGCCAGACATGATTTCACCGTAGCTTCCTGGTACTACTAAGAAGGTAGACAAAGATCTTACAGAGAGCTACCTACTTGGTTAAAATGAACCATCAGACAAATACACCATCAGAGCACTTTAAATCTGCTGTGGGTCTAGGATGGTCCTAAGCCTCTAAAAACAAGATACTCGTGGCTAAAAAGCCAAAACCCTATGGTAAGGAAAAATCCTGAATGAGATTGAACCTGGAGAGCAAAGTGATGTCAAATACTCTTCGCTAGGTCCTGGCTTCAATTTCTACTTCTTCACATCCCCCTATTTTACCACTTTATTTTTTATCCTTGAAATAAACAATCAGACTGTCTAACTTGAAGCACTTTCAGAGCTTGCTCTAATCAACCTTATTGTTACAAAAAATGTTCTGCTGAATAAAATATTGAGTACAAAATCTTCTCTCAACAATTTTGGTGTAATGTAATGCTTGTTTATGTTAGAGCTAGATTGTTTATCTAGTTCTTGTGCACCTATCCTTTTTAAATCGCTCTTTGAGAATTCAATCAACACTCGAACCCTGTGGGTCTGTGGCTGCGGTGGGGCGGAGGCGGAGGAGCCCCTTGCAGTACGGCATGTCATGTTCACACCCTGTCGGGGGTTGAGAGTGTGGCAAGACTTATTTCTGGGACAGGAAAGACTTGTGGTTACCGCTGTTGACAACCAGCTAGAATGAAAAGAGGAAAGTATTGCCACAGGTCTCGGCTAACAGAAAAGAGAAGCTGAAAAAATTGGGCTGCTGCGCCTCATCTGCGGAGCGCAGAAGGTAACACAATGGAGAACGGAGTGGCATTGTACTAGTTCTAGTGTCTGAACTCAGAATTCTAGAGCAAGCAGTCTTCAATGCTTCTGCAAATAAGAGGTCATTTATTCTTTCTTGAAAAATATAAACTCACCAAGATGCATCAAGTAAGGGAAATAGAGCAGCCAGCCAATGCCTCATGCCTCTGGCCTGTATGTGGCTAGTGTACGTATGTCTTTCCTCCCATGAGCCATGCTTCACTGATGCCTGGAAACCTCTCATCTAGAGGCAGTGTGGCACAGGGGCTCTGAGTTCTGGCAGCACCCCCTCCTAAATGTGCTACTTTGGGCTTCAGACTCTTCATCAGTTAAACGGGGATAGCCGACTCCACCTCTTAGACTCGTGTGCTTAACACAAGACACGGCACAAAATAAGGGGCTCTGTCACTGTCAGAGTTTCCTACTGTTAATTCCTTCTTTGCATCTGTGAAGCATCTGAAATGCATGACCATCAAAAATCTACTTTTCAATTAAAAAATTTTTATAGTATAGACTCAAACACAATTCCTATCCTAAATAATAATAATATGTGTATTTTAGTCATCACTTACATAGCAAATATTGTGATAGGTACTTTATATTTTTTTCAACCCCCCCCGCCGCCTTTAGGCTACTTTGAAACCCACATTTACTCAGTCACATAGTGTGTCTCCATCTCTGCAGATTCCCTTCCTCTCCAGTCCTACAGAGCCACCCATGAGCACCTCTCATCTCTCTCTACATCCTTGCCAGACTACCTGCCCTTTCGGAAGTAACTTTTCCACAGATTTGCATCAAGTTCTAAGGGCAGAACAATCCCTTCCTTAAGTAAATCCAGTGATGTCCACTTGTTGTACAAGTTAAAATATTACCACCCCCACACCTTCCCGATCGAAAGCAAAATAGGTGGTCCTGTCCCATCAACCACTCTCCTGGCGCTGCTGAAATAGGTGGTCCTGTCCCACCAACCTCTCTCCTGACACTGCCGAAATAGGTGATCCTGTCCCATTGACCACTCTTCTGGCGCTGCCGAAATAGGTGATCCTGTCCCATTGACCACTCTCCTGGCGCTGCCAAAATGGGTGGTCCTGTCCCACTGACCACTCTCCTGGCGCTGCTGAATCACGTGCCATGAACCTCGACAGTGCTGCAGGAGCTTGGTTTACTCCCTTCTCATCCACCCAACCGAATCCTGCTCTGGACTCCCAACTCTCTCCCTGGCTGATGCTCCTTTTTAGTGGAGACTCACTGAATTCTTTCATCCTCATGGGGCTGTAGCACTGACACTTCTAAGCAAGCCAGAAATTACGTGTTCAACAGTTAAACCTTTGGAGGGACCTGCTCGAAACTATGGAAAGCCAATGTGCTTTTCAAAGAGAATTAATTACAGGAATAGACACCCCAAATCTCAGCAAGACCCTTGAGAAGATCTCATATTTACAAGAACCTCATCTCGGGCTTAGAAAATCAGACTAGCTTGCTTCTCTTCACTCCCTAGCCATTCTCAACACCCAGTTCGGTGCCTCTTACAGTCCAAGAATTTACATCCAAATTCAAATATTTATTGAGGGGCTCTTCTTTGCCAGAAACCTTTGCCAAGTACTCGATATACAATGCTCTTCAACGGTTCCCATTGGCATCATGATCTGTTTTGGAGATGAACCCAGTGAGAGTCACAGAGATACACTGACTTTTCCAATGTCACACAAAAGGTGCCTAGAGAATGTGGATGCAGTGAGAGGTGACGGTCAGCTGTCTTTGCTTCACGTTCTGCGAGTTGGGTTTCTCCAGGTTGACGTTTCCCAATCCGGTGACCACTTGTAGTCCCCGGACACATGTGCACACATCTCTGCTGGCACCTTGCCTACAAACTGCAATGAGATCCTGAGTGCCAGTTCTGCTAGTACCTTTGGCAAGGAGCCAGCTAGAAGGCTCCTCTAAGACAGATGCCATACGGAATAAGACCGCAAGCACTACGCCAGTGGGCAGTGGTATTCTCAGTGTCAGACAAGATGAAAATGAAATCATGTTCAGAAAAACGATGAGTGCTTACTTTTTAGTTTTAACCCAGGCACTGACCTACTTCCCTGTTTTAGAGGAAAAAGAACTAGATCAACAGAGTATATGCAAAATCTTCTGAGGTTCCTCTAAGCAGTAGATTATTATAATAATTGATTCAACATATTATTATCTTTACTAGTTTTAGGACAACAAGCTTTTATAAGGACCAGTGATTTGCAGGCTTCCTTTGGAAGAATGCAAACAAAAGAATGGAAATTTCTATTCTTTTATCTTGTTCTGTGGGCGGCTTTCTGTGTTGTGTTTCCTTCATTTATATAAAAAGAACAAACTTACAAAATGGCTACGAGAATTGCCAAATGGCTATAAACTATTATACTAATGCTAAAAGACATAAAATGTCATCTTCAGAATGCATACGAAATCAAGAAGTACACAAAAAATGCCTTGTCTTAGAAAAATTGTGTGTAAAGATAGAAAATCGTCCTGGTAGTTATTATTACTCTAACACTTTTTTTTTTTTTTTGGATCCTTGGGGTAATCCACATCAGTGCTACCCAACCTGGTGTCATGATGGAAATGTTCTGTATTTGCACAGACCAATATGGTGGCCACTAGCTTCATGTGGCTAATGCGACTAAGGAACTGAATTTTTATTTAACTTCAGTTTACCTAAATAGTTGTAGATGCAAA